AAGTATAAAAACTAAAAAAATATATATTTTAAATTATAGAAATTTAAAATAATTAAAATATATATATATATATATATATAATTAAAAAAATATTTTAAATTATGATAGGAACTATTTAATCTATATTTTGTTAAATAAGAAATATTTATTTTAAAAATTTACAAAGGTTTAACACTTTTTATTCTGATAAACATTAATGCAGTTACCAACGCATCATCTCGAATTCTGTTTTGATGGAAGATGTGCAATGATCAATGCAATTGCAAGTTGTGTATGGGAACTGGCAAGGAAATGGTTTGGTCATTATCAAAGTGATATAAAAAATTCAAATGCTTATCAAGAGAATCTTTTTATAATAAAAATATTAATGTGCGATGAATAATTCAGTATTCACTGTAAATATCAAAAGTACTGATAATTAAAAGGTCGAATTCATTTGATAAATAAATATTCAATTTTCTAAACATCTTTCATTACACTATAAATTTTGTAAAACATAAAAATAATTTTTAAAAATTTAATAAGGTAAATAATTTTTTTAACAAGACACTTTTACTTATTTTTAGCAGAATTGATAAATATATTTGATTATTTATGAATGAGTGGAAATTTATGGAGACATTCGCACATCCATATTACATAAGTGTGTGTTATCAGTTCCATGAGTGGTCAACGTTGTTGGTCATTGCCATAGACTTGCATTTATGGTCTGGTCGTTAAAAATCATTAAAGTGGTAGATGTGTCACTATTTATGACTCATTACTCAAGCACATCACCTTGTTTTCTCAATTAGTAGACATTATTCTTTTTCCTCCTTTAGCAATGTAGTAGGACAGTAGGAGTATTCTTTTGTGTTGCATATTTTTTTTATGTTGAATTAATATTTTAACTATTTATTTATAATGAAGTTTTTCTTTTATTATTTTACTTATTTAAATATTACGTGTTGTTCTAAAATGAAGAATTTATCAACAAAAAACAGATCTAGGGGATTGTCCAAAAAACAAAGCACTCAAAGTGTGTTTTGTGATTTATACGCATTTAATAAGAAGTGTCACATGTAACTGTAAAATTATATTTATAATGGTTAGTTTTATTAATTTAATTGATATTGTGATTAATTGTTTAATTATTGTAAAATTCTAAGGATTTATAAATTTTAATGAGTTTTATTATTTTATGAATTATTTTAAACTAATGTCAAGTTGATCAGTTAAAGGAGGGTATATAATGTCTTTTTAAAAAAAATAAATTTCATAATTTTTTTTTTAAGTTAGGGAGAGAAACTTTAGAACTCGAAGAAAACTATCTTCTCTTCCAACTTCACGAAATTCTTCAACCTTTCTCCTGAGAATATAATTGTTGTTGATTGAAGATTCAAAGCTCTCAAAGCCAAGAATCAGAAAGTTGTAGCAATTGTGCAGAGTTAGCTCGAGAGACTCCATTTCCTTCTTCTTCCTCTATCTAGAGTGATCAGAGGCGAGGGGAGTTTGTAATTTTTTGATTACTTATTATCCTTGTTGATTTCTACTTGAATTGTTCTTGAATTGGATGAGTAAATTTTGTTGATTGGAGTTGAGTTTAAGTTTTGTGGTTTACTCTTATGAGAGGTAAATTGAGGATAGCTAGTGATAGATGGTTGCATGTTGAATCTAAAGTTAAATATGAGTTGCTTATGATCTATAGTAGTAATATTTGGTATTGCATGTTGTAATTTTTTTAAGATTTATGTGGATTGACCTAAAACGTTAATTTGTTAAGTGCACAATTCATCATCATGCTGAACACAACTTCATAACATTGAGTGTGATGAAGGATAAAGGCTCTCTGCCTCATTGATGTCGAACACAAGATTGGTACAACTAGTTTTAGTAGTTGTTTGACTGGCAACCTAGGTTTATGATTTTAGTTTTGGATTATTGTAGATGTGTGTGTGTAGAAGATTGTGATGTAGTTCCATTAAGGAACATTTATGTATTCAGTAGGCTATCTCCTCAACATATATGTTATTACATGTATATCTACGAACTATTTGCATGGTAAACCTTATGTAATTATATTTATATTTTTTTGTTGCGTTAGTTGTTGGGCTAAAAAGTGCATGAACCTATTAGATCATTACATTAAAGTCAACCAATTTGGTTCATTTGGGTTGGGTTACCATGGGTTGGTACTTTAAACATGTCAGTCAATTCCAGCTCACTTTCTAATGAGTCAAGAAAATTCTAACTTGACTCAACCCACCATAGGATGGTGGTTAGGTGGGTTGATTCGCCAAATTCTTTTAAATAAAAACAAGAAAAATAATTATGTGTTTCTATTTTTAATAAATAAAATAAAAAAGTTACATTTGTTCTATCAACAAATCAAGTCAATCAATGATTCAAATGCATAAAAAGAAAAAATCAATAAAAAATTTAAATAAATATGTAATTTTTTTAACTGTATTAGGTTAAATGGGTCAACCTAGCTCACTTTGGGTCAAAATCACTTGACTCGTAGTTTAAGTGAGTTTGGGTGGAATTTAGCAAACAATTGGTACACATTTTTATTTTCTGACTCAACCTAAACTGGATTCGTAATGAGCCAAGTTGACCCATGTTGAGATTTTCGTTAAAACTATTTTTATTAACACTTTAAATCACTTTTGTTCTATCAACGGTCTCAAACACGACAAGTATACCGGCCGTTCAAGTAGTAAAATTATCGTATCCATAGGGATTAGTAGGTAAAATAAGCATTTATTGACTATTCGTGACTAAAGAATAATTCCAAATTCATAGTTTGTCATGCAAGTTGAATTAAAGGTTATGACTATTGGAATGTAAGCTATAAAAATATTTGATTGTGAGTGGAAAAAGGTAGAAATGGTATTATGATTTTTGTGAGATTGTGGGGTCAGATTTCACCAAACGTCAGACTAATGTATCCTTAATCTCTTGTTACATACATTGCTTAGTCAACCCATAAGTTTACTCAAACCTAATCCCTTAGAGCAAGAGCCTAGGTGCGGATATTGAATATTAATTCCTTGAGTACCCAATATCTACACCTGCATTACGAGTTAGGGTTTAAGACTACTAATGGGCCAAGCTCCATTCCTAGATACATTTCCCACTAGGCATTTGTTTCAGGGCTAGTTTCAAAGGTTATTTTCCAATACCCAATGGAACCTATATCATGCAAGGAGAATCAATCAAAAGCAAGCATTAAGAATAGAAACATACACAACAATGAATGAAACAACATATATATATCATAAAAGCGTAAGGATTACAATAGAATTTGTTGGTTACATCTAACCCCACAAAATGGAACGGCTCCCAGCTCTGGGGAACCCTTTCACAGCTCCTAAAACGCGCCCAATGTGTGAATGAGGAAGCAGCCCTCGAAAATGTCTTCAAATACGAGCTTGGGGAGTCAGATTAGGGTTACGCGCCCGACGCATAAGTCTTTGCGCTCGGCGTAGGGCCTTCCAGAGAAGTTGAGCACTATCTGCCTCAAGACACGCTCGGCGCAATTTCCTTTTAGGCCCGGCGCAATGTCTTCTAGAGAGTTTGAGTTACTCTCTGTCGCGATCACGCCCGGCACGGGTAGTCTCGCACCCGGTGCACATATGGCTTGCAAAGATGAGGCACTCTGTTCTTATCAAGCCCAGCGCGGGTCATCTTGCGCTCGGCGCAGTCACTCTTCTCTGCTCCTTAGCTCCTTAGGTTTCCAATCCTAAGGTCTTCAATCCTCAATTCTCTAGCTCAATACCTGCACAAAAAATGAGGTGTATTAGGGTATTGTTAGCTAAATTATGGGTAAGCTATATATGCACACAAAATGGATCAAAAAGAGAACAATTATATTGCAGTAGTTCAAAGAATGAGTGGAATTGCTCATTAAGTCTTGTCCAAAAAGAAGTATAATTGAGACTTAACAACCCACTAGGTTGGAGCTTATTTTAACACCTCAGCCGTTTGTGTCACATTTATGAATCCCAACTTTTCAAAGAATTACCCTCATAATCTTAGGGTGATTGCCATTTTGTTTTGATACCAAATCTATACATTAACTTATAAATCTGTTGGTATTAAATGTCTTGTTTCAGTAAACCATCAATAACCAGGTTCAACCTAGACTGATTCCTTAAGTTGTATTGTATAACATGTAGACATTGATGAAACTTGTAACCAAAATAAAAAAATATATCGATTGACTAAGATATTTGCGGTTTATTTTTAGGATAATTCAATTATAAGTGACAAATTTATGATTTTTTATTATTAATTTTATTAAGATTTAAAAAAAATTATTTGCACCAAAGGTTTTGTTATAAGTAAAACTAGTACGAGTAACTATTTTCAAGGCAAAGAAATTAATAAGTTAGTTTTGTTTTTATTTTTAAAGTTTTCTTTATACATATGACTAAATTAAGGATATGTGGTCAGAAAATGATAAAATATGATAAATAAATAAAAAAGATAAACTTAAACCTTATCTAAAGTTTGATGCACATCATAATAACAAACCGTAAAACATTATTATATATATTTTATATTTAATATATACAGATAAGATATTATATAAATTATATTTAAGTAACAAAATTTATCATTTATTAAAATTACATATAATTTTTACAAAAAAATTAGTACTAATTTAATTTTTAAAATTTTAAGCTAAAAATATAACTTGAATCATATAATATGAATTTATTTATTTATTTACGTTAGTTACTTTCTTAAAAAAATAACAACAAAAAAACATTAAAAAAATCCAAATCCAATTCAAGAATAGCAACAGCAGAGTAGAAAAACCATAATACAGTAACTAACTAACTGTTGAGGTCTCCCTTACTTCGAACGGAGTGTGATCACTAATCACTAATCACTAATCAGTGGTCAATTATCAGCACATGCAAATTGAGCATTAGCACCAAATAATTGAATTGAATTCGAAGAGCGAGAGAGACTTTGGAGTTAGGAGTACCTGCAGAAGAGACGCGAGAAGTGGAGGAGGCGGAGGCGATGCTGACGAACTCGTCGGAGCTGGATTTGGAGCAGTCGGCGGCGGCGGCGGCGAGGAGCGAGGGTTGCGAGAAGGATCGGAGTCTGACCGGCGGCGGAATTAACTATCCAAGAATGGATGACAATGGATTAACAGGAGGCACATATATTGGTCAGCATGCAGGTGTAAAGGATCAAGGGTTCTTTAGAGTCTAGACAACTAACTCTTGCAATATAACAACTGAATAAGTAATCATGTGTAAGAGGTACAAAAAGTATTGTTCTGTGTGAACAAACCTGCAATCTGTTCAATGTAAAATAGGCTTCCCCTTCAGATTCTTGGTTGAATTTCTGAAATTCATATAAGTTTGCCCGCAGAAGTTCAGTTACGATGAATAAATGCTCCTGTGAAGTTTTCATTCAAGATAAGCGACTTAAGACTTAATGGAACGGGAGAGGATATAGAAAGAAATGTTAATCATAAATTTCCGCTAGATCATTATAAAAGCTGTATAAAAAGGATTTATTTCATTATTTGTGCTCATAGTATATAGTCCAAAGTTTCCCTGTTAAGCATGTATTATTTCGCCAATATTTTGGCTACAGCTTGAACTAAACATTTCTACACATTATATGAAATCAATCCAGCTGTATATGACATACCTGATGGTAGAAATAGTCATAAAGGCGCAAAATGTGGTGTTTATCTGCTGGGTCATGCTTGTTGACAAGTTTTAGAAGCTTGATTTCATCCAAACTTTGATCAAAAAAGTCTTTGTCATTTTTAATAATCTTCAAGCAAACATCTATTCCCGTCTGAAGATCATGTGCCTGAACAACCCTACTGAAGGCAGCTGAACCAAGATATTCTGTTACATAATACCTTCCAGCCAACACTGTATTTAGCACAATGGGCAGTTCCTTGTTTTCTTCAAATCCAGTCCTGTAGATGCAAGGATTCATGATAGGAAATTATACTCAAATATAACATAAGTTTATTGAAATACCTAAAGAGCAAAATTGAAAAGCCATAATACAAATTCCATAATAAATAAACAGAGCCAAAATCATCATGCACTCAGTTAATGCCAACAAAGAATAGTTGAAGGCTCAAATATAAGAAAGTAAAAGCCAACAAAGTGGTATATTATTTCAAATTTTACTAACTCCTAGTCTCTTACACATTCAAGATCAACTTATTCCCAGCATTACCAGGAATATTTGGTAGATATGAAAATTTAGGATACAAAATCATCTTTAAAGCTAACCTGTTCTTTCTATGTATAATTCTCAGATCAAATACTTCGTATTCTTCCTCTTGAGTATACTTTAAGAGCTCATCATCTGTAGTATCATCTCCATCTGCAGCAACTTCTTGATCTTGACACTCTTCAGCTAATTCTCCATCATCTGCTTCATAGGTGTCAAGTCCATTTGTTAGATCTTTTTCAGTAACTTTGATAGTTAAGTCATAGGGACCCTTGTACTCCTTATTGCTGTCATTTTTAGTGTAGTAGTCAAAACTTTGATTCACAGTTAGCTCTGAAGTAGAATCAAAAGAGTTAATGTCCCCAACAACCTTCAAGTGAAAATCATTCAGACGGATTTCCTTCAAATTAGGGTAGCTGAAGTTTGTAGGATCCAAACTGCAAGATTCTCCTGAACCTGGACTGCTTTTGCAAAATGGAACTTCACAACTACAGGAAACAGTGTGATTTTTAGCCTTGCCCTCTAATTCCCCTTTAAACTGGTCATTGCTATCAACATGACAATTGCCTTCTGAAAAAGTCACAGTTCCATCCCCCACAGAGGAATGATTATAAAGGCATGCCTTGTCCATGTAACCACCATTACTATTTCCCTCTAATCGAAACTCCTCATTGTTGTAACTAAGCTCCAAATTGCCATGCTGGTTTTCCGTTTCTGCTGTCATGACAAACTTATCCTCACTTTGACACGCGAAGAAATCCGGCCCTTCAAAATTAGGAGTCATGAAGTGATCATCATCCTTTTCATTATACCAATATGGCTCATTTTGCATATCAAAATCGTGATAATCACGCGCTGTGCCAAACTGAGATAATCTTTCAGACGAAGAATCAGAATCATTCTGAGTCTGGGACGAGGAACGGATTCCATATGGATTTATAAATTCTGCAAAAACAACTAGGCTTTAGGGTGTTCTATTCTCCCACATTAGCGAATGGCACGCACCACTCAACCAAATTGATATTTCCAGAAATCACTAAATCATATATTTCTGACATAAATTAACGATTAACATTTGCATCCACTAAAACATAATTCCTACATAAACTCCTAAATACTGAATATAGTATGCAATTGAATTGTGATCGACAAAACCAAACACAAGAATTCAAATCCTGGTGATCAATTACGCGATTCAAATATAGAAATTGAAAAAAAAAAAAAATAACAACAAAAAAACATTAAAAAAATCCAAATCCAATTCAAGAATAGCAACAGCAGAGTAGAAAAACCATAATACAGTAACTAACTAACTGTTGAGGTCTCCCTTACTTCGAACGGAGTGTGATCACTAATCACTAATCACTAATCAGATATAAATTAATATTATATAATATATTGTTATATATTTTATAGATTAATATTATATATTATATTTGTTATATTTATTATATATTTTTTATTTTATATAATATAATATTATATATAACATAATGCATAAAGAGAAAAATGAAAACTTATTCTATCCTATTACTTTTTAATCCAACTATCTTATTGGGATAGAAAAAATACACTAGATTATCAGGATATGATAATAAGACTCATATTCTGTTGACACAATAAACAATGAATTATAACATGATAAGATACCATCTTATCATATCTTGACAACTAATTGAACTTTAAGCATATGAAGATATGATTAAAGAATTTAGTTATCTATCAATTGTGGTAAATATTATTGATTAAGTTTTTTTTTAAATTATTTTATATTTTAAATTTTCAATTAATTAAATAAAATTTTGTTTGAATTATTCTTCTCTTAAGTAAACATTTTTTTTGGTTAGAAAATACTTATATTTTATCAATGTTATTGGGGCTAGCTATCCCACCCTTTGAGGGGTTCGAATCTTGTCTTGTGTATGTAGTCGCGTTAAATCTTGGGACCAGCTATCCCACCTTTTGAGGTGCCTCCAACGTAGCGAGGAAATTAGTCACTACTATCAACGATAGATACTCTAGGGATGAACAAAAAAAAACACTATAGATCTTATATAGAATCATAATTCTCAGGTGAAAAAAGGAATAATATATATATGACTAATTATTCCTTTGGTTCGTGATATTATTCATGTAATGATCTCATGCCGTAACTCGTAAAGAGGGAATCTGATAGGGCAATTTCACGTAGGCCCAAGCTCCCACCATATTGGGCCAAAGATTACAAACTGGAATAGTTTTGTTTGTTTAAGTTTTGAGCCCAAAATGTTTATTCGTTTTCTTCCAAGGTCTCTTTAGACCATTGTAAGGGGTATTTAATACCTGGACATCTCTGGTTTGAGGATTATGATAAAATTTTGAATTAAATATTTCTTAGTTTTATTCTAGTAGTCCTAGTTCTTACGGTAGTTCCTATCAGAATCATAATTCATAAGTCATAAGGGGAGATTAGTTTTATGTAAAAATAAAAAATGAGAGAGAGAGATTAGGGGATAGTCATTTGATGATTAATTGTACTAATATTGTAAATGGGTTAATTACATGTGTATTAATATAGGTTAAATAGAGTCTTTAACTAGATTCGTATAAGACAGATATACGAATCACAACCTTTGAGTACCAAGCTTTATTTGAAGTCTAACTCAGGATCATCTAGGGGTAGAGGATCAATTTAATAGTCCAAATTAAAATTATTTCAAGTCACTTTTCTCTATAAAATTATAGACGATAGAATAGTAGATGCATGGCAAATAGTGAAGATACCTTATGTTTTTAATGCATAGAACAAAATTCTTAATTTTGTTTTTTCCCTTCTCATCATCATGGTTTGTTTGAGTGTTTTCTGGACATTAATCTTTGTAGTTATCATCGTCAATTTTTGTTTTTCATGCATTCCTGGACAATAGAATGTCAACCTATATTTTCATAAAATCATATGCCGATGGTGAGTATTAATGAGAGCACTCGGGAATCGATTTGATGAAAATAGTTAGCCTTGACCAAATGATTAATATGATCACGTTAGTCGTTGTGTCTACGATTCATAGTTTCATACTATGTCTATGTATGTTTATTTTCATTTTATTGTATAAATTATTAAACATTATGTATGTGAGTTTTCTTAATTCCTATGTAATTGGTACTTAATGCGATCAGCGTTAAGGAAATATAAGATCACAATACTAATTGTAAAAGTTGTCTAGAGCAAATTAAAAATCATGAACATCACTTTTTAATTACTCTACTATTTAAACTTGAAACCATTAAGTTATTCATCCCATTTGAGTTATAATAAGAATATCATTTTATATCTAATATAAATTTAAATATATTTTAATCTTTAAACTTAAGATAAATTTATTTTTAGTTCTTTAAATTTGAATTTGTTTTTATTTTAGTTCTTATAATCAAGTTTTGTTAAGAAATATATCATATTATAGTATAAAATCTACTTATTGATATATTTGTTAGTGAAAATATCACATTAAATTAATTGATTATGTATAATCCTATCTTAATCCATCACTTTCATATATGTTATTGATAACTTGAAAAAATTAAAATAAGATTTTTGAAAATTACAGGAAATAAAGATGATAATTTTAAATTTGAGAGATCAAAAATAAATTCATCCTATATTTAAGAGATTAAAAATATATTTCAACTTATAATATAATTCTGAGAGTTAATTATATTTTTAAAATGCTTATTTAATGTTTAATTTAGCTTAAAAATAATAAATATGAAATTCATATAATAAAATATAAAAAAATGAATAATAAAATATAATTTATTATTTAATATATTTTTCATATAATAATATAAATTTTCCAACGACTTTTTTCTTTTATTCCCTTTTTAATTTCATTGTCTTCTCATCTGGTTTAACACCTCATTATAATATATATATATATATATATATATATATTACTATTTATCATATGAAAAATATATTAAATAAAAAATACCAATATTATATTATCTATTTTATTTTATATTATAGATCTAATCTCCTTTGAATTTTTAAGCAATCATAGTTTGGAAATTCGACTTAAACCCATGGATTGATCCGATTTGACTGAAAATCAGACTTATAATCGATTCAAGCCAATTATAATATTTGAGTAATTAAAATTATTTAATTAAAAATTATAAAATAAAAAATTACATAATTATAATATTTGAGAAATTTAAATTGTTTAATTAAAATTTAAGAAATGAAAATCACACAATATTTTAAGATTAAAATTGTTTAATTTTAATTTTAGAGATAAAAAGTGTAATGAAAGCTTAGCAAACCTGCTCCAGTGATTTGGTCACTAACGTCCCCAAAGTGCATGTGGGCTCTCGACGTGGATACCTCATTCAATGTCATGGCTAATGCTTCCTACACCCACAGCAATTCTCCTATTTCAAACCCAAAATGAGAAGACTGAAAAGTACACATAAAAGCCCATTATCCAGCAACTATAATTGACGGGTACTGCCGAATCCCACAGCCCATATCGTCAGTTTCTTTACTATCGGGCTAGGAAAGCTGTGGAAAAAACATTTAAAGTTAAAAACAACAATAATAAGAAACAAATAAATACGTGAATAAAAATAAGTCAGAAAAATAATAAAAATAACTACTAAGTCTAAGTGTCACACTTTTTCCTTTTTCTCTTCTCTAATTTTTCCTGCGCTAAACACGGAGCAAATGATTAATAGTAATTGGTGATCCATTATAGTTAAAGTGTGGATGACGTTAAAAGTAAATGGTTAATTGACAACTTGCAAACTTAATTATAATGTTTTATACTGTGATGCAATAACAAGTAAAGCTGTTGAGATAGATAGATATTATGAACCAAAGTTTTTATTTTAAATTCTTTGGATGTGTAAAAAATTCTTATATTATGAATTTAAATTACGTTAAAAAAATCATTTCATAAACAATCATGTGTTAATAAAATAATGCCATTGTCTCTATATAATAGTAATGAATAAATTCTCTTATAAAAAAAATAGTAAAATCATTAGTGGGATTAATGGATTGGTAATAAGATTACATAACTAGTCTTAAATTTAAAATACTATCACAAAACTAGTCTTAATTTAAGCGGAAAAAAAAATTGTCTCTAGACTACCTTATTTTTATATATTATATATCAAGATACGTGTATTTTATTTTTCATTTATTCTAAATTTATTTTCTTTAAATTTTATAAACTTACAAGTATATCTATTTTCTTTTGTTTCAAAAATTATGTTTCCATAATTTTAAAATATTTTAAAAATATATTTGAAAAATCTAATTTAATTTTGTATGGCATAAATGTTTAAGAACAAAATTATAATTTTCACGAAACTGCTAAATATCTTATATATTATACGAAGACATTAATTGAATTAAATTTCAAAATAAAAATAAAACATTTTAAATTATGAGAAAATAACTTAAATATAATAAACAAGTAAAATAACTAGTTAACTTAAAAGAAGGAATAAATTTGAATTTTTTTTAAGAGTATGAATAACTGAAATTTAAGATGAAAGAGAAGATTTTAATATAGAGAAAGCGAAAGTAATTTAAGCTAAGATTTGAGAGGAAATTTTTTAATATAAAATAAAAATTGAAAAACAATTAATAATTGAATTTAAAACTATGGAAAATAAGTGATAAATACTAAGAAATTCTTATAGTATAAGGAAAAAAAAAATATAATAGGAGATTTTTACGTTCAAAAGAATTTATTTATTTTGCTATAATCATAGAAATAAGGTTAAGTCTATGATCCCAAGCAAATCATTTAAGCATGTCACAAATAGCCCAATCTTTGTGGCTGGAACTTACATTTATAATATAAAGGTGGCATCCTGAATTATCAGCTCTGATCACTGAGAAAGTTTCATAGCTTTTGCAATGAAACTAAATTAATTCAAATCCAGTGAACTCATGAAACCCCTGGATTATGTTAGAACCAAATGGGGTGACACGAAAATGTTATTCTCATAACCTCCCAATTCATGGAAGGCAAAAAAATAATGGGAAGAAATTCTGTACAAAAACAAACTATAAATCACCAGGGGAAAAAAAATATACAGCATGAGAAAGAGAATTCACTTGTTATAGCTTATAAACAAACCAAAACTGTGACTGCAAGCTTTGCCATATGCGGTAAAAAAGCTCAAGGGATCATGAATGATGTTGATAACTCCAGTAGAATTACTGAACCTTCCAAGAAAGGACTAGTAGACATAAGAAAGCCATGGATGCTTTAGTGCTTGTCTTGCAGTAGGCCTTCTTTTGGGGTTGATGCTAAGCAAGTGTCTGACAAAGTCTATAAACATAGTATCAGTAACCTGTAGGTGCTGCTCCAATGATGTCTCTTCTGGAATTATGTACTCCAATTGATCAGTGTCCTGTGTAGTGGGTACAATATTAAAGATTAGTTGGAAACGACTAAAATGGAAATTGAAAGGATTCAATTATGCAGATGAATTAAAGCCTTATTTGATTTTATTGTGCATAGTTAGTACATATGTGTACTCCCCTTTCAATTACCTCTTCTTTCTCACTCAAAATACTTGTACTAATCCATCTGAGTTTTTATTCACATCAACTTTACCTTGTTGGCTAACATATTCTGAGAAAGATAGTGGATTTTCATTGGCAAATTTGAAATTGACCACAATTTGGATGGATTAATATGAATATAAGATTATTTTGGTAAGAAGAACATATGATTTAATCAGCGCCCCTAAAGAAAATGAAGATAGATGTATTGCATTTTCATGTCAAATAGATCATATAGCAAGCTAATACTTCAAGAAACAAGAAGGGAACTTTTTTGCTGTTTTTCTCTACAAATTAATGAGTCAATAGACCTGTATTCAGCAGCAACAAGAAAAAGGTTTTACACCTATGATTTCATGAAAAACGACAAATAAAAAAAAAAAGGAACAGCCATGAAGAGGAAAAGTATAGGGGAAACAAACCTCATTTACAAAATAAATATCATATTCTTTGGTGAAGTACTTGTGCGTTTCTTGCCCCTTCACCAACATCTCCATATCAATGGAACCAAGCATTCCAATCATGCGTGCCAGAATCATCACAACTGCATCATTTGGAAACAGCACCTGCAAAAGACATAAGAATTTAGGAAGAGAAAATAACATTTTTTTAAAATAAATTATTCCTCAATCATATTAGCTTACCAAACTGAAAATATGGCTAAACAAAAATGTATTTCATTAATATCATAAAAAAGGCAAATTAGAACATACTTCACCAGAGCATAGTTCAGCCAAGATACAGCCGAGAGACCATATATCAATCTTTTCATCATATTGAAGGCCTAACATCACTTCAGGAGCTCTATAGGATCGGGACTGTACATATAGGCACAGAGTGTCTGTTTGGAAGCAACTACTTCCAAGATCAATAACCTTTATCTCACATCTTCTGTAACTTTTGATTAGAATGTTTTCTGGCTTCAAGTCACAGTGAACAATTCCCAAGCTATGCAAGTATTGCAATGCTTCCAAACACTGACGAGTAATGAGCTGCAAGAAGGATAACAAGTTAGAAACAACCCTCATCATTTAGACAACTTCTCTATTTCTTACAAGAAGTAATTATACTCAAATTGCTGAATTAACTATCCAAGAATGGATGACAATGGATTAACAGGAGGCACATATATTGGTCAGCATGCAGGTGTAAAGGATCAAGGGTTCTTTAGAGTCTAGACAACTAACTCTTGCAATATAACAACTGAATAAGTAATCATGTGTAAGAGGTACAAAAAGTATTGTTCTGTGTGAACAAACCTGCAATCTGTTCAATGTAAAATAGGCTTCCCCTTCAGATTCTTGGTTGAATTTCTGAAATTCATATAAGTTTGCCCGCAGAAGTTCAGTTACGATGAATAAATGCTCCTGTGAAGTTTTCATTCAAGATAAGCGACTTAAGACTTAATGGAACGGGAGAGGATATAGAAAGAAATGTTAATCATAAATTTCCGCTAGATCATTATAAAAGCTGTATAAAAAGGATTTATTTCATTATTTGTGCTCATAGTATATAGTCCAAAGTTTCCCTGTTAAGCATGTATTATTTCGCCAATATTTTGGCTACAGCTTGAACTAAACATTTCTACACATTATATGAAATCAATCCAGCTGTATATGACATACCTGATGGTAGAAATAGTCATAAAGGCGCAAAATGTGGTGTTTATCTGCTGGGTCATGCTTGTTGACAAGTTTTAGAAGCTTGATTTCATCCAAACTTTGATCAAAAAAGTCTTTGTCATTTTTAATAATCTTCAAGCAAACATCTATTCCCGTCTGAAGATCATGTGCCTGAACAACCCTACTGAAGGCAGCTGAACCAAGATATTCTGTTACATAATACCTTCCAGCCAACACTGTATTTAGCACAATGGGCAGTTCCTTGTTTTCTTCAAATCCAGTCCTGTAGATGCAAGGATTCATGATAGGAAATTATACTCAAATATAACATAAGTTTATTGAAATACCTAAAGAGCAAAATTGAAAAGCCATAATACAAATTCCATAATAAATAAACAGAGCCAAAATCATCATGCACTCAGTTAATGCCAACAAAGAATAGTTGAAGGCTCAAATATAAGAAAGTAAAAGCCAACAAAGTGGTATATTATTTCAAATTTTACTAACTCCTAGTCTCTTACACATTCAAGATCAACTTATTCCCAGCATTACCAGGAATATTTGGTAGATATGAAAATTTAGGATACAAAATCATCTTTAAAGCTAACCTGTTCTTTCTATGTATAATTCTCAGATCAAATACTTCGTATTCTTCCTCTTGAGTATACTTTAAGAGCTCATCATCTGTAGTATCATCTCCATCTGCAGCAACTTCTTGATCTTGACACTCTTCAGCTAATTCTCCATCATCTGCTTCATAGGTGTCAAGTCCATTTGTTAGATCTTTTTCAGTAACTTTGATAGTTAAGTCATAGGGACCCTTGTACTCCTTATTGCTGTCATTTTTAGTGTAGTAGTCAAAACTTTGATTCACAGTTAGCTCTGAAGTAGAATCAAAAGAGTTAATGTCCCCAACAACCTTCAAGTGAAAATCATTCAGACGGATTTCCTTCAAATTAGGGTAGCTGAAGTTTGTAGGATCCAAACTGCAAGATTCTCCTGAACCTGGACTGCTTTTGCAAAATGGAACTTCACAACTACAGGAAACAGTGTGATTTTTAGCCTTGCCCTCTAATTCCCCTTTAAACTGGTCATTGCTATCAACATGACAATTGCCTTCTGAAAAAGTCACAGTTCCATCCCCCACAGAGGAATGATTATAAAGGCATGCCTTGTCCATGTAACCACCATTAC